GTGATCGTGCCTAGAGATTTTTTGAATTTAGTTTCCTACGATTGAGAAAGGGTTTCCTTGGAAAGTACATTACTACACTTGTTTTAGGGTTCACTTTGATTCTCCATAAGCCAAGCCATTCTCCTAAGCGATTAGCGGCTCTTTGAAGCATTTTTGTGAGATAATTCTTGTTAAAAAGACAAAAAACAGCAGTATTGGTTACTGGGTACTTCGGGTTCGTATAGATTGGGAAGAGCATGGATCCCTCAGGGCCGGAGTCTCCATAATCTCCTCTGAGGCACTTCGAGGAGCACGTTCCCTCTATTGGATAATGTAAATGGCGGTTGGCAAGGAAGGCTCTGTTGATGTGAATTAACCTATCGGGCACGTTAAGTTTATACGGCTTGTGAAAAAAGCCGTCGTGCCAGACTTTATTAAAGGTTGAAGATTCGATGATGTCCTATTGTGTGGGAGAAGCCCTTCAGGATGTATTCCGTAAGGCGATAAATCTGATTGTTGCACGCTTGTTTAGGTCTAAAACCGAATTGCTCGTCAGAAAGAAGCTTATTAGCGAAGACGTGTTTATGAAGGCGATTCAGTATTACTCACTCATAAACTTTCCCCAATGTGCAGAGGAGACTAATGGGTATGTAGCTAAGGGCTAATTTGCGCAGTTTGCCTGGTGTCAGGATTTCTATGACGTCCGCTTCTATCAATGCGTCCGAGAAGGAGCAGGAGGATAGAAGAGCGTTAAAAATGCTTACTAGGACGCCGTCAAGTGGTGCTGAGAAGGATTTCAGTACCTTGTTGCTGATGCCGTCGGGGCTTTCTTCTTAAGGTATTTGATAATTATTATTTAATTATTAAGGTATCTTAGAGTTAGTTGCTTAGTTTTACTAGTTTCTTAGTTTTTCAAACTTAGTCAAAAGGCACAGGATCTAAAGGGGAGCTTGCAGGTGGTAAGGCAGACCTACGCTTGACCTCTGCTTCGACGTCTGCGACGACGTGAGGTGAGCGGGATAAATGGGATCGCTAGAGGTAGTGCATTAACTCTCTAAGCTGTTTGCGAGTAGTTCGGCCTTTTCAGAATCATCAAAGGCGAGATCGGGGTTTCCTGGCCTAATAAGTGGCGGCATGGTTGATGACTATTCTGCTTTCAGAACTTGAATCAATTGCTAGAAGGCAGTTTGAGATGGCTCGATATCCTTCAGCTGGTTATCCCACTTATTATGGCTTAATTCGATAATGCGCTATTTCACCTCATTTTGGAGGCTGCGTAGACGAAATATTATGTTGTCTTTTATACGATAGTGACTGTGTTGTCTTAATGCCGCGTTCTCCACTCTTATCAGCTGTCGAATACTACTCGGAAGCTCCAGGTTTCGATAACTTGACACACGAACCTTGCGGGAGAGTTCTACGACCGCTGAGGTGAAGTGGGACGATAGGGTGCTAATCGTCTTATTGGCTTCTTCTGGCGAGTCTATTTGGTCGGAAATGGTGTCTAAGTGCTGGAAGGTCGAAGACTCGAGTTTGGCCTCGAGCTTAAGCCAGTTCACGATGGTTTTGGTCTGAAGAACCTCACCTGTGGGCTCGCCCAGCTACATATGAACTGGTCTATGGTCCGAGCCGAGTTCTATTATCGTTTCGATGGATGTTATCGACAAAAGTATCGTTACGTCAAGGATGTCTCGTCGATGCCTGGTAGTAAATGAGTAGTGGGTTGGAATCTCAGGTGCAATAACATAGACGTTTAGACGCTTTGGGAGCTCAAACAATCTATTAACATTTGGATTACATGTAAGCGAGTTCTAGGAGGAATGCTTACTATTGAGGACTCCAGCTATTATAACCCTAATGCCTAGCTTGAGTACTTTTAAAATATCTGATTCAATTATACGCTTTAACGGCGGTTGGTACGCCGAAATGATGGCAAGTTGTGGATGGTCAGAGGGCTACCTTAGATATAGAAACTTCTATGTTGGTAAAGGGGATGCATCTATCGATACGCAGTTCAAGGACCTTTTGTAGTAGATCATGGTGCCATCCCTACGGCTGGTCAATCTATCGTTTCAAACTAGGGTGTACCCTAATGTTAGTTTGTTAGAATATCTACGATAGTTCGCTGGGTGTCCCTATTCGCGGCCATCAACACAGCTCGAAGGCCCTGCCACCTCGGGCGTGCGGGTGCAGTCAGTAGTACCGTGGGCACCTAGTCATACTTGATGCACCAAGGCCTGGCATAACAGTTTTTGGCCAAGTGACCCTAGAGTTGGCATCGGTGGTACTGGCCAACACTGGGCCAGCCTATTTCGGAGGCTTCAAATGTAATCTCCGTTGGGTTTCAGATGCAGCGAACGTTAAATATATTCTTGCTCTCCGGAGACAGGTCCATAATGACAAGGACAGATCAAAAAATTGTTTCTTGTCGGTCTGGTGGTGCATTATGTGCACTTCCCGGAGTGGGAGATTTTGAACGAAACGAAAATGTACGATCTCGAGCTCCTTGGAAAGTCCTAGGATGACCACACGAAGGTTATGCTCCTCTGGAAGGGCGTAGGTATGGTAACTAACTTGTTAGGCGCACGTGGTTGGTCACGTTACGAAATTCTTCAGTCAAGTTTACGGTTATTTTTTTTAATTTAACCAATTTTAAGATTATTCCATCAGGTCTTATTCTAAATGAGAATGGGTGGCTGTTCCATACGTTTAGCAGGAGACTCTTTCGCTGCGTGCTTAGCCGGCTTAATAAGTGGCTTAGGGGGGTTAAAAGCGTGCCGCGCGGGCTGACTTTTTAGCCAGAATGGCGCTGAGGCTGCCATTTTGGGGGCTGAGCGTTAGCACTTTTTGTCCTAAACGAGGGTGAAGCCTTCGTGTTCGCGCTTGGGCGGGGCACGCGTTTTTTCCTCCATGTCGGAGCCTGAGTTGGCATCCAAGAAGACCGGAGAAGTTGAATCAAAGAAAGAGCATGGCTAGATTTACTAGCAACCAAGGCTGGTAATTCTGACGGTATGAATGATGATATTGAAAGAAAATGACATTCTTTAGGCGTCTAAATAAGAGAGTAAAGGCAGTAGTTAAAAGGAAAAAGCAAGAAAAAACTGATAATAATGATAGAAGAATATCGGATAACTTCCGAGCAAATACTAAAATGTTCTGGAAACTCGCAAGACCTCTCAGGGGAAATACAAACCAGCCTCGATAAAATGCTATAGGAGACGAGAATTAATGATGAAGTTTTTAGTTTAAAGTGATGGAAGGAATATTCTGAAAGTATGTTTCTGAGTGTGGAGACGTGTAAATTAAATGAAATTGAAATTTCGAAAAAAGAGGAAGAGATAAGTATAGATGAAATAATTAAAGCAATGAAAATCATGAAAGCAGGTAAGGCAGTGGGATATGATAGAGTTTCACTCGAATTGCTAAGGGCTGGATAGGAAGTAGTGGCAAGTCTGCTGTTCATCTTGTTTAGTTTATGCTGGGAACTGAATCGGATATCGGAAGACTTATGCAAAGGTGTGATAGTCCTAACATATAAAGGAAAATGGTCACAGCAGGACTGTAAAAACTACCGTGTAATCAGCCTTCTTAGCATTGTGGCAAAACTGTATGCTGAGGTACTAGTTGAAAGAGTTATGAAAGAAACTGATGAAAAATTTTGGGATGTGAAGCGGGATTTCGAAAGGTAATAGGGTGTACAGCTCAAGTATTTTCCATGCGCATGATCTCGGAGAAATTTTTGGCCAAAAACCAAAAAGTTTTTTGTGCGTTCATGGACTTGGAAAAGCTTATAACAGCGTGGGCAGTGATGTGTTATGGTAAACACTGAACTCATTTGGGTTAAGTGCTGCGTTAATACGGGCACTAAAGTCTATTTATAAGGACTCTCGTGCTTGTGTTTGGATCAACGGGATATACTCGGACTGGTTTCGCATCCATAAAGGTGTCTCACAGTACTGTGTAACTTACGTGGCTGTTCAACCTATTTAGGGGCAGTTGTTTGGAAAATTTGAAAGGTGAAGAATGCGGGTTAAGAATGGGTGAGTTAACCATAAAATGCCTTTCGTACGCCGATGATCAAGTTATATTTGCATTCTCGGCGGCTGAATTGCGAATGATGGTTACATTAATGAACAGGTCATTAAAAGAAAGGGGAGTAAAAGTGAACGCAAGTAAGACGGAAGTTATGGTTTTTGAAAGAGAAGAAAGTAAAACGATATGTAAAATAGGAATATATGAGGAGTTGGTCGAGCAATTAGATGAGTTTTTTTATTTGGGATGCGTATTTAACAGGGATGGAAGATATGATAAGGATATAGAATGACGAGTGAACGCAGGTAATAGACTAAATGGGACTTTACACTCTATTGTGGAAAATCAGAATGTGTCAAAAAGGCACCTATGGAAATTCACCATGCTGTGTTAGGCCCTATTTTAACTTATGGCAGTGAAAGTTGGGTGTGACAGAAGAAGTACGAGAGTAGAATACACGCAGTAGAAATGTTATCGTTAAGGAGTATATTAGGGCTTAATCTGGGTGACAGGGTGAGAATTCGTGTGATAAGAAAAGAGTATGATATGCAAGATGTTGTTCTGACGAGTGTCGTTGGTGGAGAATGTGGTTTATTCATGTAGAAAAAATGAATGAGGAAAGAGTGACAAAGTAAACTCAAGTTGCAGAAGTGAACGGCAGGGTCGGAAAGGGACGTTCTAGGCGAATTTTTATTGACCAAATTTGCGATATAATGAAAATGGGCCAAATAAAGAGTACTTAACCGACGAGCATGTATGAGTAGTAATATGGATGTGAAGGAAGGAAGAAAGGAAGGGGGTGTATCAGGAAATCTGTAGTATCTGCCTAGCCCTCTGGGTGACAGGCGTGAGTTGAGTGAGTGTTTATGTTTATTTATGTATTTATGTAAACTAAAACAATGAAATAAACAAGAAAATTAAAAAAATAATATCATATATATAATTGATTGATTGATTAATTGCAGCTATAAGTTTTTTTTTTGTATTAGGTGATGAATGGAAAGATATGCGATCGACATTAAGCCCTGCATTCACGAGCTCTAAGATGCGATTGATGGTTCCATTTATGGTTGAAGTTGGTGAGCAAATGATAAGAACACTTATGAAAGAGATTCTCAATTCTTCAGGTAAGTAATAGCCACTGTTTTAATTAATAAAAGCCAAATCCTGATAACAGCCTCGCCTCATGTAGCCCTAGATAGTTTTATAATGTAGAAATAAGCTTAATAACGAGAAAACATTGAAAACCCTTCGTGTTTTCAAAAAACACGCGCGACATGTTATACTCCCGTTCGGTCGGGACCGTAATGGCGGCAAAATTTGAAAATTAGCAAATTTTTTGCTATATTGCAAATTTTGCTATATTTTCACTTTGAGACAATATTTATGGATAAAACTTACAGGAATTCTTGTTGAATGTATAAACTATCGAATAAAATTATTTTTGGTTGCTAGAAATTGTAATAAAATACGTAAATTACCCTGTATAGCACAGTAGTAGTATGTACTTCAATTTTAGTGACAAAATTACTACTAATTTGAATTCTACACTTTTGTTTTTGGAGAAATTTATATCAAATTGTTTGGAAATATGTATATTTTCATGTTTTATGTGTATCCATTCGTTACTCATACCAAAATATAAAATATAAAGAAATTAAAAAAAATTAAATATTAATATTTTATCTGTGTGACATTTAGAACAATATTTCTAAAATAGTTTTGTGTGAATTTGAAATAAATACAACGTCAAGTTATTTGAAATATGTAAGAAAACTATTTTTACTTACATTTTACACTAAAAATAAATGATAATGTGAAAAATACCACATTTATGACCCAGCCGCCATAATTGGCCTTCCAGATTTTGAAGCACTTTTGGCAATTTACTTTTCACTTTTTATACCACAAATTATATATATATGTGTTCACTATATTACAAGGAATATAAAAAAGTATAATACTTTCGTTTTTAGTCCAGACACAAATATAAAATTCTATAAAAAAAGACGGAACACCTTTATCAAAAAGGCACGTGGAACGGCGAAAGTTCAGAGTGATTTCTTTTTTTTTTTTTCTAAGAAACATTGCCAGGTTATGGTTTAAAATAAAAGAGCATATCTTTGTCTTTGATACTAATATCTATTGCATAGTGTCTTTGGTTTTGTTTAAAACGAAAAAATAGTTTTTTAATAGGTAGACATGTTTACATAATTCTGATCTAATTCGATCACTACTTGGCGGGCGTAAGGTTGGTATTGCGCGATCTAATGTGAGCAGGGCTTGGTTAACAGGTTAGAGTTATTTTCTAACGTCGTGGGTAATTGATATATCATTAGCTAACAACACTAAACCTGAGAGTATAAAAATGAAATTTTGTCTTGATAACTTCATTTCTCCTTATCTAACCTTCAGTCATAGACGACGGGAATGACTGACTTAACAATGTTTAAAAAAATCGGACACCTGTGGTGATTAAATTCCTCAATAAACAAGGAAAATTTAAAAAAAAATGTCCATTAAGAAATGGTAGCTTTTACCAAGACTGCTACTTCAATATCAACGTATACTAAATAATACCAACGTATGTAACTTAAAAGCGGCAGGAAAAGCATCAAAGATGATCTCCGCCCGGGTGGTCCAATCACAGAGGCTACAGAAGGAAATGTAAAAACTATTAAAAAACTTGTGTTAAAAGATGTATGATTAAGAATTAAGATGTAAGCAGAAATAACTAATCCATCTGTTGGTTTCATAGAGATCATATTGCATGACTATCTCAACCTTATAAAAGTCAGTTCAAGTTGGGTGCCGCGAATGCTCACTTGTAGTATAGTTACAGGAGATGAAACATGTGTTCAGTACTATGACTATGAGTCTATGAAATGGCATAAAAAGGGATAAGATCCCCCCCCTCACCCTCAAGAAGATCAAAGTCATGGCCGTTAAAAACATAGCCAAAGTGATTTGAGATTCCAGAAGAAATACTGTTGAACGAGTACACAAGAAAAGGTAAAACCAAAAACGCAGACAAATACTCAGCCACTTTAAGCCATTTATAAGAAGCAATAAAAGAAAATAGAAGAGGAAGGCTGACCAAGAGATTGCTGATTCTTCATGACAATGCACCGGTTCACAAGGAGCGGCTCTCCTATGCTGTGCTGTACGAGACTACGGGCTTGAGGAAATTAACCACCCACTATACAGCCAAGATCTAGCCCCTAGTAACTATTTTTTCTTCTCAAACTTAAAAAATTTACTTCGGGGAAGCTATTTGTGGACGGTAATGAGATAAAGTCCGACGTAAATAAGCATTTTTCAGGCCATGGCGCAGAATATTTTCTCAAGGGAAGTGTCTCACCATAAGAAACGCAGCGGCATAAAGCTGTTATTTTGCGCTAATATTCTGTGAGAATGTGGTCCTTCCTCTGCTGAGCCGATCCACTTATACAAAACTATACCTCTAATAATAACAAATCAATAAAATCAAACTTTCTCCTGAAGAATTCTTGGATAACGTTAACTTATATTTTACCTCAACAGGTTTTAATTTAGCACAAAAATACTAAAGAAGTTTAATATACAAAAGTGAAATTGGTGTCTGAGAATAAATTTAATAAGATCAATGATTTAATAAGACCGACATATCCTAAAGAAAATTTTAACATTACGGAGAACTTTAAAGCTAAAAAAAAGGTTTTGGCTAAGATAATTTAATAACTGAATTGAGATTTTCTTACCACCAAAGCCTACATGGCACAATTAACATTAAGGATTCATCATCCTTAATGTTATTTGTGCCATTTAAGCTTTGCGTCAGGCACATTTCCTAACGTATTGAAAAAAACAGTTGTCACACCTATCTTTGTATCAAATAACAGAAAGTTGCCTTCCAATTATAGACCCATTTCTCTGCTATCTATAATGTCGAAAGTTTTAGAAAAACTTACCAATAAACGTTTAGAACCATATTTAGAAAGTAAAAACATTTTATCTGCGCAACTATAATATGGAATTAAAGCTGTCAAATACTGAATTTTGTATAATAATTGGGTATAATAAACAAGATTTCTATTAGTTTCAACTGGTTTCAATTTAATGAGAACTTTTTTTTAATTATATTGTTCACACAGTGCACAGTAAAAGTTTTGTAGCATACAGCCAAGAATTATTTATAAAATTTTATCCAATACTCCCAATAAATTTTATAAAGAAAAATCTCTCATATTTGCTTGTCTTTAATGAAAATAAACTTAACTTATATAACTGACAATATTTCATCTCTTATACGTTCAAATTTAACAGTAGGTAAAGCCTTAGTAAGAATATCAGCCAGTTGATCTGAAATTTTCACATACCTAATAACAATCAATTTTCTTTTAATTTTTTCTCTTATGAAATGGAATTTAACATCAATATGTTTTGTCTTTTTATGATACACAGGATTATTCATTAGTTTGATTGCACTTTGATTATTAATACACAGGGTTGTGCAATTTTCAATGATATCAATATCTTTGAAAAACTGTCTTAACCATAAAAGATTCTTAGCAGCTTCACAACCAGCCACAAATTCAGCTTCAGTTGTTGATAGGGCAACACAAGGTTGTTTTTGACTAGACCAAGATATAAGTCCACCATTTAACTTAAAAATATAACCACTAGTTGATTTCCTTGTATTTAAGTCCCCAGCAAAATCTGAATCTGAATATCCAATCAACTTTCATGACCTTGATACTTTATACATACATTTTTAGTTTTTATGAGATATCTAATAATCCTCTTAAGCTGATTACCATGATGTATACTAGGATTATTGATAATATCTACTTAATAGACTTACTCCATATGAAATGTCTGGCCTAGTTGATATAGATAAAAACAGTAATGACCCTATGGCCTCTCTGTAAGAAAAAACAACCTGCTTACCGTCAATATTTTAGTTAACTGAATATTTACATCGATTAGTGTACCATTTGAGTGTACAGTACTCATATTGAATTTAATTTGAATTTACTTATTAACTTGTCAATATATTGTCTTTGATTGTGCCGTGTAGTGGCGGCTGAGAATATCCACTACCCCATATCTTCCCGTGGGTGTCGTAAGAGGCGACAGAGGGAGATAGGCAGGAGATGGGCAGCAGCATCTTCCTGAAAACAACTGTGTTATAATAAAAAAACTGCGGTTGCCAACCCGCTCGCCAAGCATGGCAACTATGGCAAATATCCCGCCATGAATAACGACGCAAAAAAATGGCCCCCAGTCCCCGGCGGCCCCGCTATTCCTGGATACGGTGGTGACCATGGTAACGGCGGGGCAGGGGGTGCTAAGAATCTCCGGTGGAGGTTCGGTTTCCACCTACGACGACTCGACCTGGCAACATATAACGCACGCACCCTGAGGACTGACGAGAAGATAGTGGAGCTGGAAGAAGAGGTAGACAAGTTGCGCTGGCATATTATTGGATTACCCGAGGTCCGAAGAGAGGGGGAGGATACGGCAATCCTCGAGTCCGGCAACTTGTTCTACCACCGGGAGGGCGACCATCTGTCCCAAGGAGGTGTCGGATTTATCGTCCACAAGTCTCTCATCAACAACGTTGTAAAGATTGGGAGTGTGTCGACGAGGGTCGCGTACCTGATACTCAGAATCACCAAACGGTATTCGCTGAAGGTCATACAGGTTTACGCACCAACCTCGGCACATCCCGATGAGGAGGTGGAGGAAATGTATGAGGATATTTCCAGCGCCATTCATTACTCCAAAACCCACTACACGGTGTTGATGATGGAGACTTTAACGCAAAACTGGGCACAAGAGAAAGCGATGAGCTGAAGTTGGGGAAATTTGGAGTAGGGCAACGAAACTGAAGGGGCCAGCAGCTGGCCAACTTTATGGAGAAAGAGGGACTCTTTATGATGAACTCTTTCTTCCAGAAGCGGCCCCACAGGAAGTAGACCTAGTCGAGCCCCGACGGTTCGACAAAAAATGAGATTGACTTCATTATGACGACCAGACGCCAACTGTTCAGTGATGTCTCAGTGATCGCAAGGGTGAAAACTGGCAGCGATCACCGAATGGTTAGAGGCACACTGAACCTAAACGTTAAGTTGGAGAGGTCGCG